CTGAAGCGAGAGTGTAAACACAAACCGTTGTGCACACACACTCGAAAAGAAACAAGCCAAGACATAACTCTGGTAACCTATGTGCACATAGAAATGTGCACACACACAATTCATAAGTTTGACAAATATGAATATTCCATAAAATCTAATTTAAAATTATAGTTATTTGTTACTTTCTTTTGAATTATCAATACTTTTGAATTATCAGCATAGGCACGGTGTAGGTTTTTTTTTTTTTTTTTTTTTTAATTGTACTTAATGTGCTTTCTGATACATTTCAAGGTAGGTTTATGTAATATTGTATTGTTTAATGATTTTTCATTATCTACGCTTTCGGCATAAATGAAAGAAAAAAGGGAACGGCATAATTTCTTTGGGTCCGCGCCAAGAATTCAATTGTAGTCTTTGGTAAGGTTTTAGTTTCCGAAGAATCCTGTGTTGTTACAAGGACTCTGTGTTCTTGATTACGTATTATGATTTATGCGTGGTGTTACATGCGTGAGTGCCTGTTAATTGGACAAGAGTTACTAATTAGGGTTTTTTTGGGTTTTTTCTCTTGAGTGATAGTTTTCAGTTTTGATGATAATGTCATTTATGCTGATCCTTTAGGCCATAGGTATTGTTTTCTTTAAATATATAATCAACGCTATTGGCTGACGAATAAATTGAATGAAATTTGTCCATTTGAATACGTAGGTAATATGTATGAAAGAGACTATCATTTGTTATAGGAGAATAGACAGAGTCATCTAACCCATACGGTGATCATTTGTTATAGAATACTAGATATGTTGATGATCCCAGCTCTGTAAAATTCACTAGCCTCAAAAGTGTTGAGTGATTAGAAAGAACAAGGAGTCCCTAAATCTAAGAAGAAAGATTTGACTTAGCTTCCCAAAATCGCAACCTTGGAAGTGATTTGAAATTACTGAATGAAGAGCAAGGGGATGAAGAAAAATGTAGAGATTTTCATATTTGATGACCGAAAAATAGATTCTCATTTGGACTGGATAGTGGCTTTCTTTGGAGGCGTTTCATGTATTAGCGTTATTTTTGTTATTATTATTAGTATTATTATTGTGGAATGGTTGATTGGACCATACCTGAATAATTAATGTTGTATTTGAACTGTTTGAACGCACTAAGTGCTCCTTTCTCACAATTACAGACATTCAATAGATCGTGATGGTGAAAGCACATACACAAGAGCATGTTTACAAGCACCCATGGGAGCGGGTAACTTCTTCATCTTAGCGCAAGTTTGCTGACCCTGAGAACTAGTGTACGTAGTCCTATACTTGAAGTGGATAAACGCAAAGATGGGTAAGAGATTGTTGTTTTTGGGGTTGGTAGAAGAGTTGAGCGTAATAAGATGGGTAATGCTGGGTGAGAACAATAGGGATATCAATTTCTCTCGGTGTGTATTGACTTTAAAGAATTGGTGGACTATTGAAATATTGAAAGATACATTATTGTTCAAAGTGGAAACAGCTTGCATGAGAATGACAAACTAGACTTGGAGAACCAGTGGATAAAAGTCTAGCTGGTTAAAAATTCATAAGTATATCTTTATATTTAAATCGTCATTACTGTAGATATCAGTTTAAAGAAACAGTTAAGAAGTGACTCCCTACCAAATTGAGTCATTAAAAAGCCATGCTGGGTAATGGGCTTTGTACATAAGTGTGTGCTCGGTAAAATATGAAGCTGAAGTTGCATCAGTGACCTGAAATAATAACGTATTGTAATGAATGATATATCGAACAGTTGGGAGAAATCAATGAAGTCCTGGAGCAATCAGAAGCGTAGCCGTAGTGTTGCGATACGTACGAGGCATGCGAAAGCACGATGAGGATGAGGTCTAAAGCGACAAAAGAGATCTCACTCCATCACTAGGTGAGTTATCTTCACTTATTTTTTGGATTTTTTTTGAGTTATTTACTTGTATTGATGTTAAGGGTTAGCAGATGGCGACTTGATGTAGTCAGGATCGAAAGGAGTTAATTCATAAACAAGATAAGAATGTATATACGGTATTCTCATTTACTTCAATGGGAGAAAAAACAAAAAACATAAACCAAATTTCATGAACGAAATATTATATTCTAATCCATAAATACTGAAGATATAACTTTTATTTATAAAATAGAAATATACTATTTATTTCATATATAATATTTTTTGTTTGATTTTCTTAATTATCAATTCAATATAAATAACTTCAATACATAAAAATATATTTAAAACTAAAAAACCAATAATATATAAGAAATAAACAAATATACCTGCGCAACGTGTAGGTGTGCCATCTAGTTTATGTATAATTGGAATTCAAATACAAACATTCTGAAAATTTTAATTTGCAAATCAAAAGTAGCATATGGTTGCCTGATTCAGATTTTTGGGGTTGTGAACTAAGTGAGTACTAGACAATAGACATTCACCTTTGATCTGCACATTAAGAATTTTAGAACATCTAGATTGGAGAATGACTAATATATAATTATTACAAAACAATGTGAACATATAAAGCATAGGGTGTTCAAAACCGATTAACCGATTTTGTGAACCGAACCAATTTTTCGGTTTACGATTTTCTTGAACTGAAACCGAATTGGTTAAAGGGAAAACCAGTTTTAATTAATATTTAATATTAATATATATTTTTATAAAAAACGGTTTCCATATTCTCCCAAACCAGTAACTGAACAAAAAATTCTGTTTTTATTTTCTTTGAACTGAAACAAACCGATTTTTCGGATAACCAAAAATTCAGTTCGGTTCGATTTTTGCATTTTTTTTTAATACCCCTAAGCATATGTAAACTATATGGATTACAATTTCACTTAGTGTATCAGGTGTGTTATAAATTTTTGTTATAATAATAATAATAATAAATTGAATGTATTTAATATCATTAATATTTCTTTCCTATAACTACTTTGTGCAAAATTGACTATCATTGAGGTTACACCACATTCTTCCTATGAATCAAAAATTCTTTTAATAATTATTGGATTTAAATATATATTTATTTTTATATTATTTTTTGTCACGCTACTCTGTACAATATCTTGTAAAATTTCTTTGTAGGGTAAAATTACAAATCAAAGTAATAGTCCCATCCTGATGATAAGGTTGTTAATCCAAGTCACACGGGCCCAAACAACACCAACAAGCCGAAAAGCAGGAATGACAACATAGACCCAAACTCCAATAGACCACAGAAAAGCCCAACAAACTAAACTACAAAGGCCCAAGATAACTTTAAACACCTAAAACAGCATCCCATACAAACTTTAGTTCGCCCAAATGAAGAAACATCCAATGCAATGTAGATAACTAATTAATGATTGATTAATTTTTAAGAAACAACAATGGTAAACAACAAGCTACTTATAAATTTATTTTGTGAAATACACATGAAATTAGAACACTGTCAATGTTAACTACTTTGGGTGATTGAATGGTTCGATAGGGACTCTTGGGTATATTACTCAAGAGGTTTTGAGTTCGAGTCCCTCCTCGATTGATAATAGGAGTAAGCTAGAGCTCTTATGGCTGATAGTTTTAGGATTCCAATTATTAGTGAGGTGCTCGTAAGCTGGCTTAGACATTTTCGATCATTAAAAACAAAAAATTAGAACGCTACCCATGGTGTAAAAATGCATTAAAAGGAACAAATTAAAAAGATGGGAGGTGTTAAGTTTGCCATCCTATCTAAAAACTTAAAATTAGAAGGTGAGGATTCAACACTGTGTAGGCCTCTTCACTTAAATGATCTTTTGCTCTTTTTTCCACGATTGAGAATAGTACTATTGAATTTACTAAGTCAAATTGAAAGTTAGGCGATGTAGTCAGATAAATCCTTAAATCTTCACGTGTTCCCACTTGGAAAGAATAAAGCAGGACATAAATTTCAACAAATTTAAATCTCATTCAAGACTGGATAGCTATTCTTTCTGTTATGATGTTTCCAAGAGGCTAAATTTTAATTTACGCGACTTGACTTGGCAGACTTTTGAATACACCTTAAATTTAAATATGCCTTCCAGTTTATTTTTCACTTCATCTCGGGTTCTCATACTACAAGCAAATTCTATTCTTCAGAATATGAAGATCAAATTTCAGTTTCTTCTCATGAAATCTCTCCTATTCTTTCTGTTATGTTCATTATACAGTTACAGCTCAACAGAATCAGTCTCATATAAGCCCGGGATCTTCCCTTCACCCACCGGAAACTTCTCATGGCTGTCAGCTTCGGTCTCTTCGCCTTCGGATTTTATCCGCAAGGCAATGGCTACGCTGTTGGCGTTTTCATTCTGGGTTCCGAGCAAAATGTTGTCTGGACAGCCAACAGAGATAACCCACCAGTTCCAAGAAATTCTAACTTGCTGTTTAATACTGAAGCCGTCTCGCCTGCAAACAACTCCAGGCCAAGATATTAATATAGCTGAAGCTTCCGGAGTGGTCTCTTCCGCTTCAGTTCTTGATTCTGGCAACTTTGTGCTTCTAATCTGATCAAGAAATTATGTGGCAGAGTTTCGATCGTCCAACAGATACAATTTTGCCAACCCAACGTCTCCCGGAAAATCGGGGAATGTTTTCAAGCGTTTGGAAACCGACCATTCAACGGGGATATTCCGGCTCAAGATAATGCCTCAAGACGGAAATCTAGTGCAGTTCCCAAGGATGGTGCGACGCAACTGAATATAATTATTGGCAATCTAATACATCTGGAACGGGCGGAAATGTTTCACTGATCTTGGTGTTGATGGCCATCTTACCTGCTTAATAACATGGCTTCAACATAAAGAATATTACTGAAGGAGGGTATCAAAAGGAAGGAATGTCTATTTCATGAGACTTGATTATGATGGGATTATCCGATTTATTCACACAATTTGACTGAAAAAAGTTCCAAATCAGTTTTGTGGGAATCTTTGCAAGATAAGTGTATCCCGATGGGTCTGTTGGGTATAATAGCTTTTGTGTTTTAAATGACGAGAGCCCTGAGTGCAGATGTCTTCCAGGATTTGTTCCTGTTAACCCAGGTAATAGAACTGCTGGCTGTGAGAGAATTTCAGATCAGAAAGTTGCATCAAAAGGTCTGGACAGTCAGATCATCCATTAAACAAGTGGAAAAACTTGTCTGGGAAGATGCTTCATATTCAGATCTGTCACAACAACGAAAGGACTGCGAACAAGCATGTTCGGCGGATGGAAATTGTGAAGTTGCCACTTTCAGTAATGGCCAATGCAGCCTGCAAAAGCTTCCTTTGAGATTTGGGGAGAAGAGATCTCAACACTGATTAAAGAATATTGCTTTCGTCAAGTTACATACACACCCTCTTCAGATGTATTGAGCCCAAAGAGGTGAGAAAGAGCTCCGAAGTGACATCATAACCAAGATTATATTTTCATTTGTTGCTTTTATACTTGTTATTTTGGCAATTTTCGGAATTGTCATTTACAGATACCATTCGTGGTCATATAAAAGAATTCCTGGCAATGGAAACACCAAATATTGTGAAGGTATTGCTCCCCTGTCATTTAGCTATGCAGATATTGAAAAAATGACTGATTGTTTCAAAGAGGAGGTTGGTAGGGGATCTTCAGGAAGAGTCTATAAAGGGACTATGGCCAATCGTCAGAAGTTTGTAGCTGTGCAGAGATTGGAGAAGGTTTTATCTGATGAGGAAAAAGAGTTCTTGACTGAGATAAAAGTAATTGGAAGGACTCATCATAGGAACCTTGTTCGTCTTATAGGCTATTCCTCTAACGGACCCAACAAGGTCTTGGTATACGAGTATATGACAAATGGATCTCTAGCTGATATACTTTTCACACCTGAAAAGCAACCTAACTGGGTTGAAAGACTAGGTATTGCTTGTCAAATTGCTACAGGCATTTTGTATCTTCATGATGAGTGTGAGACTCAAATCATCCATTGTGACATAAAACCTCAAAATATTCTCATAGACGAGAATGGGTGTGCAAAAATTTCTGATTTCGGATTGGCAAAGTTATTGAAACCAGACCAAACTAACACCTTTACTGGAATTAGAGGAACAAGAGGATATGTTGCACCGGAGTGGCATCGAAATATGCCCATTACAATCAAAGCAGATGTTTATAGCTTTGGAGTTGTGTTACTAGAGATCATATGTCGACGAAGAAGCATGGACCAGAATCTTCCACAGGATCAAGTTATTCTTGAAGATTGGGTTTACCAATGTTTTGAGACGGGTGAGCTGAGTCAATTAGTAGAAGATGAACAAGTGGAGCTCAAACAATTGGAGAGAATGATTAAAGTTGCCCTTTGGTGTATTCTTGATGAACCATCATTGCGCCCATCAATGAAGAAAGTTTTACTCATGTTGGAAGGGACTGTTGACATTCCAATTCCTCCAAATCCTACTTCTTATCTTAGCTGCATCTAGGTTACATGCGTTTGTTTTAATTTGTCTGTGTCGTTAGCCCCTTTAAGTATCATTTTACATATAGGAAATAAAATATAAACCAGTATTGCAATGTGCTCTGTAAATTTTTAGGTTCGGGGGTGTTGTGTTTTAGAATCTGTTCTTATATATCCCTATTATGTAATGAAAATTTTCAGATTTTTAAAAATTCCTGCAACACTTTCAGTCTCCTTACTTGGGGAATCTCGTGCGCGACCCTGAGCTGAAATCACTGTCAACATTACTAAAGCTTTTACTTCTTTCATATGTGCATATTTATGTTATGTAAAACATCTATAGTCAGATTTCCTTTTATGTAAATGCAATGTAGTAACACTTTCTTTTGATGCAAGCTATTTAGTAGAGTATGTTGAACACGTTAAGATACAAAAGTAGAGATAAATGCAATAAAGAAATTAAAAAAAAAAAAAAAAAAAACTACAGGAATTCTCATGTGCATAAATCCCATTTAAAAAAAAAAAAAAAACAAATTCAGACTTCATTAAGACGCCAATAATAAACACTAAACGACATATTTTCATGGTTTTTTATGCAAAAATTATTATTTTAATTATTTAACCGACCCAATATTAGTTTGTAAAGAAAGTTAGAACTTAAAAAACAACTAAACCAGGTAATTGTAAGAAATATTTTAAAAACAAAATACAATCAATTTCAGCTTTAGTACAATGTTCTTTGGCTNAGCCGACAGTTTGGACTAGGTTTTCTTCATGAACTTTGTGTTTTGCCGTTCTTTACGGTTAATTGTCTGCTTAATTGATGTGTTATTGAAATTAATTAAAACTGCTCTTCACAAACTGTGAAACACATGACTCTCTGATACACAACAAATTAATAAATATTTATCTAAAGATTTTGTCAGTAAGATAATGTTTAAAAATAATCAATCAAAATCTCAATCTTCTCCAAATTATAATCAATGAATTTATTTATTTATTTTACACCCGACCCGCGGGGAATTCGAGGATTATATTACTTTTACTCTACTTATTCTTTTGGACTCGAATTTTTTATTTATATATATATATATATATATATATATATTTGGGCTATGACTTATCTAAATTTGAACATTTTCATACTATCAATTTTTATTATATATAATAATAGAGAACATATTTAGAACCTAATAATTGTCATAAGTATATAACAATTAAAAATACTGTATGTTTTAACTTTTTGCTTATAGATCTTAACTTTTTTGCTTATATAATTTATGTTAGAAAATAATATGTTTTAATTTGCCACCAAAATATTTAAAAATACAATTCTTATTCCATAATTACAAGATTATTTCCTTATTTTAATTTATAATGAAAGATTTTTATTGATGGATTTTAAGATCCATAATTAACTTATTTCTAAATCTTCATTATTAATTTACTTTTTTTAGACTCTCTTCATTTAAAAAATAAAAAACCTTAAAATTCATTTTTATTTTTGTCTCTTGATCTACTGAGTAATATATTTTTTTGAATTAAAATAGAAAAAAATAATTTTACTAATCATCCACCAAATAATATATATATTTGGGCCGGGCCGAGAACGTGTTCACCTCTGTCACCGACCTGTTATATAATTAATTCAGAGAATCTCTGCCCCATTTGGGGTGAGGTAGGGAAAAGGCTCATCCCTACATAAACTTTGAAGATGTGAAGAATATATATATATATATATGTATAAATTTTGAAGTAAAGAATATGGGGGTATAAAAAGGTAATTGAAAATAGGTTATGTAAATGGGTAGGGATATAATTATAAATAATATATAAAGAGAATGATGTCAAGACAATTAAAAACTCCATTAAGTGAAAAGTAAAAAACTATAGCTCTTTCAATTAACTGAATTTTAAGAAAGAAGACTGAAAAATAGAAATTAAGTTGAAAAAAGTAATACACGAATAAGGTTTTATCAACTAAATAAATGGAATTACACGGATTTCAAAAAAACAAATAAATTCCAATATGAGTTTGCTTCTTTAATGATAATTTCAACAAGTTAGTCATAAATTGTTGAAATCATGTTCACTCACAAACCCAAAAGCAACAGCGCAGCGGGAGTCAGGATTTTATTTAATATCAGAATCTCAATCTCTACCAGAATGAGCTCATAAACCTGAGGAAAAGCACTTTGCCAGTTTTTTAACATCTGATAATTGAATATGTAAATAACTCAAATTAAACTATGCTATATTTTTAAAATTTGAACGTCCTCATATTGTTTTGCAGGCGTCACTTTCATTTTCAATATTGAAAATTATCTTATTAGAGCCCCTTTAAATCTCTCTACTTATCAAACATAAAAAACGTGACTCATAATATGTCAACCATAACATTGATAATTGAATATGTAAATAACTCAAATGACGTGCATGAATCATTTAACTCCATAAAATTGCAATAAAACACAGCGGCCCAGTTTAATTTTCCATATTTCTTGATTGATTTTGCATGCAATAAACAAAACATTTCGATATAAAATGGGTGCGATTTATTTATTNATTTGAACGTCCTGATATTGTTTTGCAGGCGTCACTTTCATTTTCAATATTGAAAACTATCACACTATCTTATTAGAGCTCCTTTAAATCTCTCCACTTATCAAACATAAAAAACGTGACTCATAATATGTCAACCATAACATTCACTCAAAAATGGTTATGTGAAATTTATTTGTATATGACGTGCATGAATCATTTAACTCCATAAAATTGCAATAAAACACAGCGGCCCAGTTTAATTTTCCATATTTCTTGATTGATTTTGCATGCAATAAACAAAACATTTCGATATAAAATGGGTGCGATTTATTTATTTAAAAAAGTCTAATCAGAGGCAGGCATCCATGTTGAGTCAATTTAATTGCAGGAAGGGTCCTTGTAGGCACCCACAGACAAAGCGACGGCTCAGAGCCTCAGACAACATTTGGGCCCCCATCATGTGATCCTCTGACAATTCTGGCTCAACTATGATATACAATTAAATTTACTTGATCAAGTCATCAAGTACTGTAATTACAGTGACAATGGGGATCCATCCACTAACAAGTTATTGCAAGATATATTTTTACTCCCTAGTTCCCACTTCAGCTACTGATCAATTATTCTAACTGCACTTCTTCAACATCCTTCCATGTCCCGCCACTTCAGGTAAACCAGACCTGCACGATAATGAGTGTATGCCCCGGCCACAACCAATATGTGAAAGAGCTGATGGCTATGCCCAGCAATGTCAAATTTCCCAGGCATCCATCGTTCTGGAATCCTTGTGGCATAAACCAGTGCTCCTATCCCATATAATACCCCCATTAGAATCTCATACCCAGTTGTGTGGAGAGCCTCAGGCTGGTGCCAGAACATGATAACCTTGTGCAGAATTGGTGCCACCCCGGATAAGCCCATGCCGAAGAAGAGTGATGCACGAATGGTACGGAATTCAGGATTCTGAAATACTGGTAGGAGAGAAAACAAGACTGTAGCAATTCCCAGAACTGTTATAAATCCCATGTAGAGGTTGCAAAAGAAGGGATTACACATAAAAGAATAGTAGACAGGAGGGTAGAAGGAGGTAGATATAAGAGCTGCTATTCCTGCATAATCAAGCCTGAGCATAATGTATGATAATCGCTCGGAGTGGCATGAGAGAAGGTGGCACGTGCTGCTTGACAGCAAGCAAAACATGGCCCCACCCATGAAAGCAAAAAATGGCCACCTTGTTATCGGTCTGACCATCAAAGGTGCTATTATGTTCGCTACATCCTCCTTCACGGTGCGCTGCGTTAGTCAAAAGTAAAAGAGTAATTAGCTGCATGAAACTCCCTGGATGAAATAACTGAATCAATAGTAAAAAGTTCGATTTTTACGACTAAGATCGGTTCAATAAACATGGAACCCAAAAACAATACTAAAACTCTTAACATGTCCTATTGTATGTAACATGGATCCAAATATAATCAAAAGTACGGATACCAATGCAGACACATTCTATGACAGCAGATTTGAGCACAAGATTTCTCAGTCAAACTGACTGGAACACCATGTAAGTAACAACTACATCAAAAAACTTAAAAGTTAGTAGATAAGTGCCGACACTAGTATATTTCTACACTAACAAGAACTCCAACTACAGAAGCAAAATTACTAGAAGGCACAAACTGCACGGGCAAGCATATCTTTCAAAGAAATTAGACACTCTTCGCATGATCCTTTAGATACATAAGCAGAAAGGTCAAAGTTGTAGCCTCAAATGACAAAGAGATCTTGCATCCAAACATCACCATTGGTAACACTTGATTAGATCTTCACATAATATCAATTCAGTAAAAGCTTCTACTAATAGTATCCAACTCCGAGCTCATAATGCCCTTACTAGAAATCATAAAGCTTCAAGTATGTGTCAATCAACACAGCCTTAATTTAAAATGCTGAAAGACTTCAATATCAGAATTAAAATGCATCCCCAATATTTCAGGATTGATTAAAAATGCCTTTCAAGCCCTTAATCATGAGAAGTTCCAAAGTCAGAAGGCTCAGACAGATGGAAAGGCACAGTTTTACACACACTTTTAGAACACAACTAATGTAACATCAGCAATACTTCAAGAGAAAAGTTACTGAGACAATGCCAACACTCTCATACAACATCAAGAAGATAAAGAATAAGATTCTTCACAGATTTGCAACTCTGATGTTGTACAATGCATGGACAGCAATCAAAAGAATTTCAACAATAAGTGACACAGCTGTTATATGCACACACCAAAGGAGACTTTAGGTAAACCTCTCAAAAGTATGCATGCACAACTCTGTGAGAAAATACAAGTTGAACTCTACATTTCCTCCAACCAATGTGTAATGCCTTAACACATCAACAAGGGCACAGTAACTCAACCTTTCCAGGCCATTTCTTCAAGTTAAAAGTCATGTTTTCCATTAAAGCATGCAATCCATGACTAATTATAC